AATTCCATTTCCATGAATTCACGCACAGTTTCGATGGAGTTTCCGATGATCACGGATTAGCCCACATGTCGATCGTCACTTATGCCTCACGATCGACCACTTTGAAAACGTTGAAACCACACGTGCAATCTGCTACGGGATAAGCAATCACCGCCATAAACTTTTTCATCAGTTGAAACGTTTCGGTAAAAGTTTTACTAATTTTAAAATAAAATTTGATGTTGACTCTTTGTTCGAAGCTCATTTTGGCACCGATAACACAAACTTACTGAAACTTAAAACGCAATAACTTCATTTCCAATCAATGAAAGTACATGAAATTCTCACTGGACAATCAATGAAAATAGCAGATTCTAACGCACTAGTCGACATATAGATGGCGCTACCAGGAGGCTCTAGATTCAAAAAGTCCTGTTTACTTTGGAAAACTATTTCTAGTGGATTTTAAGACTTTCTGATGTAATGACCTTTTTTACAATAAATCCTGGGTTGGTCATCGTTTCCGTTGGTTTACCAGTTTTGACCAAGACCAGTTTCATCGAAACCTTCATCGAAGTAAAACTGCAAAATAGGGCATATTTTGCCAAGCACTACCGATAAAAATGATCATAAAACGAAATCTTATTTTTCTCATGCTAAATAGACTAATTGAACTTAAACAAAGGCAAATACAGATTACAAAATTCATCCAACAGTAACGGTCTCTTTTAACTCGACCTTATATTGTTTAAGCCTACTACATATATTAATAAAAATATATTTATAATAATAAAAAACATAATAATTATAGAATTAATTTTGGTATAAATATTTTGGTATGCACAAGTAACGTATTAATGATTCAAAGCTCCTAATTAGTAATTGACTTAGAGACGAAACGCCCAAAATCAACAATTCAAACATTTGTAATTTCAAATGGAGAGAACTTCAGTAGCTAACTGAGCGCCTAGTTGTGAGTTTGTTTTCACAATAACTAAAAAATAAAATTAAATTCGAAAAAAATGCTCGTTTTCAAAAACGTTTGCACGAAATGTTTCGTCTACATCTTTCTCATTTTGCAATTGAGCGCTTATTATTCCAACTCCACAACAGCCTTAGAAATCCCACATGCAGTGTCAGTGAAAACAAACAAAACTTCAGATGGCGCTAAACGCATTGTGCTCAAATGTGTTGAATGCACACACCTAGTACCACACTCGAATATAGTCAAACTGTTCGATTGTCAATTAAATCGTCGTAATAATCGTTCGTACATCGCAGGCGTGATGAATCTCCGACAACCCATTGCTCGCCTGGAAGCTAATGTTTTTTACCGTTCGAGTGGAAAACTCAAGAATATGTTCAATATAACCTTTGATTTGTGTGCACTTTTAGCAAGTGGTCGACATAGTATCAAATTATTCGAGAGTTTAATGCAAATTCTATCCAGCAAGTTTAATGTGATACCAAAGTGTCCTTTGAAGGTGGTGAGTTGAAAATTTCCAATGGCTGTCAGTACATTATTAATTGTTAAAGTCCTCCTATTCTTCCATTAGAATTTCAACTATACTTGCACGGATTTGGATTTGAGTGCAGGCAGTTTATGTGGCGAGCAGAAGTTTCTATGCTGGTTTAAATTTTCGCCATCAGGGACTTAAAATTGGAAAGACCACGGTAGAGGGAAAAGTGATTTCTTACAGGTTTAAAATTCAGAGTAATATGAAAGTGCAATGCTGAGAATTTATTTAATTTGTATTGGCATAATTTCAACTTCATTAAAAGTAAACAAATGAAAATTCCTACTTCATTTTAATCAAGAATTTCCTATCATGTTTCGAATTTACTAAATAGACAATACCTTCATTATTACAGAATTTAATTTTCTTTCACTGCAAGTCATATGTTTTAAATATTATAATTATCGTTTAATTTCGTTTGTTTTTAGTGCAATTTAAACACGTTTCCATCTTTCAGACAAAAGATTGTTTTCAGCCTCAAAAAATATGATATTTGATCCTTGCAGTTAAACACTTTTCAAAGTTGATTTCGACATTCTGATTTGAGATCAAAATTCTTCCATCCAGAAAATTTTGCAGAGACCGAAAAAATTAATAGTCTAAAGATGCCAGGTATGGATAACGTGTTGGGTGTAGTAGAACATTCTATTCAATCTGCAAAGGCTTTTGTTGAGTCATCAATTTTGTATGAGGTCTTACATTATTCTGCTAGAACTTCGCACCTTTTTTCTATTGATATTTGATATTGATATAGATAAATCTGACCTCTTGTGTTTGAATGCATCGCTTAATTTTTCCAGTTGATTACAATACACTTTAGAATAAATCGTGGTATTGTTGAGTGAAAGGTCATAATAAGCGATCCTTGTGAAAGTTTTGTTGACTATCGGCATCCTCTTTGGACCATGAGCGCTCACTTTTTACATTTTTGTAAACAACCCACTTCTCGTTGCCAGTAACAATGTGCTTCTAAAATTAATCACTTCTTTAACGTTTGACAAGCAAAAAATAGTCGTTAATGCGACGAAGCAAATTCTGTTCCGTACGAACATGAGGAACCCATATTCCAAGCCAAAAAAAAAAAAAAAAAAAAACACATATATACTAATAATACAAAACTTTGGCATTAGAATTGCACGCGATAAAATTTAAAATCAATAACTTAAGTATTGGCAATTGTACAATATAAAAATAGTTTTAATAATATTTACAAAAATATAGTTTAATTATGCCAAAAAGCAACATTTTATAAAATTTTTCACAATCTTTAATGCAGTTAAAGTATGTGCAAACTCAACTGCTGCTCTTGCCACATACGTCTTACATTCATATTATATATTTATATACATATAACTATTATGTGGCACAAATAAATTACTAGATAAATTAATATTAACAAATCCAGTCAAATAGTAAACAATCGCTATTCTAATTGGTATTGAGCGCAGTTATAATGGAGTGCGTATATGTATGCTCTGCTAAGGCCAAATAATACAAATAATTCTGCTGTATCTAGTAATTATTTGCTCGAACAAGTTTAGCGCGTCATATGTTTTTGTTATACCAATTGTAATCAATTACCCGCTAATTACATATAATAAATAATTGATTTAATGCTATGTAACGTCAGTTAGGAAGCTTTGCTCACGCTAGTAATTGGAAAAGCATATCAAAATCGAAATTACAAATACAATGGCAAGACAAAGACGATATCCATTTGGTGCTTGGTGTTTGTGGTCGGTAAATTGGTGAATTGGAGATGTATAAGCAAACTATTCAATAGTAATTTTAGCACTAATGCTAGTGATATGTATGCATAGAGACATGTGATAATTTATTTTGTAACGCCATGCTAATTAGTTGCTACAGTGTGGTAATTAATATGTGTTTTTAATAAAAGTATAGACTGTTGTAGATAAGAGTTATACGGCGAAATTAAAGCGAAGAAATATGGGAAATTCCATGCCTTTGGTTAGCAAAGAAATCAGAGTATGCAAATTAAGTGCCGGAAAGTATGCAATCATTTCTATTAATCATAATGCAATTTTGCTTATCTGCACTCTTATCTCGGATTTCTTTTTGTTTTTGTAAGAAAGATTAGTTGCTCTTCGTAGGTCTTGCTTATCACTTGCAGGTAATACGAAGAACATCGCTACACAAACAACATTTCATAAAATCAGAAATTTACTTGAGAGCGACTTAGACTCTTTACAATGACAGAGTTGTATTAATTATTGGAAATGTTTCTATTTTAGTTTTGAAACTAGTTTTGAAATTATTATTTCATTGAAAAAAATATAATATTTGAATATATTTATTAAATCAAAAAATATACTTAATACTATTATTAATACTATACAATTTTTTTTAAATTTTTTATTAGTACTTTTTTTTAAAAATCTACAAACAAAATGCTACAAATTGTAACAAGTCAAAAGTCACGCTTATAAACAGGTAAAAATAGTGTTCTTGTGCAATTTTTTTTATACTTTTGATTTTGCAAAAAAAATTTACAGAATTCTTAAATAATGTTCTGAACACGAAAGTTTTTAAAACTGCCAAAATGTAAATACAACATTTTCTTTTCAATCATATTTTTGTTATATTTCAAAAAACAAACTGTTCATAAAAATTTTTAATATTAAAAAAGAAAATAAATTATACATACATTTATAAAAAAAATTGTAAAAAAGAATAATATACATATACATATACATATGTATATTATAAATAAATTATTTAAAAAAATTGTTTTCAAAAAGATAAAGCAATTGTGTTAATTCTGTCGTACAATTAAGACATTGAGACTATATTGAGGTATTTTCACTTAAAACTTTTTTCAAATACAACTAATTTTGTAAATAATAACATTGAAAGATTTTTTTTTTTATTTATATACCAAACATAGGTAATAAATTTTTTTTAACAAAAATTTAAAGAAACGGTTTAAATACTATTGTGAAGCATATCATCATAGACCAGTCGTTTGCCACACCAGATGGATTTCATTTCATAAGTCCATCAGGAGTAGTAATCCTTTAGGATGCCTGCGCTTGACTTGAATATTAACAGAGTCTGTTGCCTCACTATCAATACCTCGTCCAGGGTATTGTATCTTACCGTGGCGACCCCAAATACTTTACAGCATAGTCGTTTTGATATATAAATATTTTCATGTTTATAAGATAATTGACTATCGAAAAAAGTTTTAAAAAAACCAATTGTTTTTCTGTAGTTACATTAATTTGTCAATATTTTTATTTTCGAAAAGTACTTTACTAATTTCGTATACTTAGTTTTAAGTACTGAAAATCTCAAAAAAATTTAACTGCTTCAAATTAGGAGTTATCCTCTGTATTTACTTTATTTAACATTAACTGATGGCAATGTATTTCCATAATTTAAAAAAATTTTGCAATTTTAAGGTTTCCATAAAGTATATGAGCTTTCTAGATTTTTTGTTTTTCACAAAATAAAAAAGATTAAATAAAATAAAATATTAAATCAAAATTTTCGCAAATTTTTCGTACCGCCATGTTAATATATTTCTAATAACTTTTACTTACGGTTACAAACACATATTATAAATAATCAGGCTTTCGGATACAATTTCATAAGAATTACGTCTGTACATAGTATATAACATAATTGAACGCAAATTGATAACACACCTCTATTCAACTTGACGTTATCGCTACAATTTACATATATTATTTTCATTGAAAAGGCATGCGAAATTATCAGTAAACATAATGCGAAATAATAACATTCCAATTTATTTAAAAGTTACTGTGAAGAATTTATTACCAATAATTAGCCTTTCCAAGCTATTTAAATTATTATACTGAAGCCACGTGAATTAAATCCACTTCTTACTTTTATATAAACGGAGCTTAGAAATTGGAGCGCGGAACGGGTATTGCCCAGAAAAAATTTACTGCTTCACGTTAAAGTTTATGTTTCCGGTTTATATCGGTAATTGAAATCTTACAGTTACGAGCAACTTTCAACGATTCCATGCTGAAATAACACTGTAAAATTATGCTTGTGCAAAGTTAATGTAGAAGTGCTTACTTCTTGGCCAAATTCTGCATCATCCCAGTCAACTTTTCAATTGAGCTTTCGATTTTGTTTAATCTTTGAATAAAAAATCACATCAATATTTGCGTATTAAAACTACTGAAGTCATTTACTATTGCTAGCACAATCACCTATTTGACAAGCTGCAAACCGAGCGTTGAGGAGTTTATGAGGTAGCGGTTATTCAAGCAAATCACAAATGAAATAGAAAATATATTAGATTTGTAATTCAAATCATAATTACTCCACATAATTTGCATGCACTTGTCTTATTACTCTGTATTCAATTTATTTCCGGAAATTCGAATTGCGTCCACGTCTGCTTTTAGGGCGCTGAACTCTTTGCCGCCATCTAAGAAAATTGTGAACACATCCTCGGCTGAGACCTGGATGACAGCCGTGATTAAGAAAAATCCGAGTAGAACCGTCAGCACGTTCGTCATCTTTAGACACATAATTGAGACTAAGCCTTTGCTATTTGAAATTCGCGGTTACAAACTGGAATCAAGGGTGCTCTCGCGCTCAACGAAACGTACGTACCGAGCAGCTATGAGATCGGTGGTATAAGTACTGAGCTAAATTGATGTATATTTGTAGTTGTATATATATACAAATGTACATATATATGAGCTATAACAAAAAATTATTTTGGATTAACTCTTAGAGCTTTAGGGTGAGCTTTTTGAAAGCTTTCAAAACAGTAACGATAATCTTTACAAATCATCCATTATCAATCAAGCTTTTATTTAGTGTTTTGAATAATTATAAACCAAGAAAAAACGTTAACTTCGGCTGCATCGACGCTAAATACAATTCACATATGCACTTCTGTTAATAACTTTTTTCGGAGATTACATTGTTACCTTAAGCAGTAATTCATGCCATATTTCATGAAGAGGCCATGTCAAATGCGAAAGTTTTCCATAAAATCCCTTGATTCCGATCGTTCGGTTTATATGGCAGCTATATGCTATAGTGAGCTGATCTGAACAATTACTTCTGATACTACATTATTTCCATAAACAAAACTCATAGCAAATTTCGTGAAGATATATCGTCAAATGACGAAGTTTCCCATGCAAGCATTTGATGCCGATTATTCAGTTTGCATGGCTGCTATATGCTATGTACAGTAATCCGATCTGAACAATTTCTTCGGAGATTACATTGTTGTCTTAGAAAATAATCTATATCAAATTTCGTGAAAATTTCGAAGCGATATCTAGCCTAGTTCGTATATATACAGAGAGAGAGGGACAGACAGACAGACAGACGGACATGGCTAAATCGACTCAGCTCGACATACTCATCACTTATATGTATACTTTATAGGGTCTCCGACCCTTCCTTATGGTGTTACTTTACATATGATTCAAGCAGCTAACGGCGACCGGTCCTGGACCAAGTATCCTCTGGATACCAAAGAATATCCGTTTGAAGGCGGAAGGCATCTCCTCCACAGAGCTGTGAGCTAGTTTATGCGCAAAAAAATATGTCAGCAATTGATTTTGCAATTTTTCGCACTGCTTTTGGGAATAGCAATATAAACACAAAGACAGATCGGTAAATAATTTTGGTCACACACTCAAAGGTATATGTACAAGAGCATATATGTGCATATGCAGCTATGAATTCCACACATCTACATATATTTCAATTTCAGAGGGCTTTTACATATGCCTGCCCTAATATATTAAAATTATTCATGAGAAGATAATATTTTGCTATTGGGAATATGGTGTTACTACAAAAAATCGATGAATTTTTATTAAATATTAAAATTAAAATGCGGATGGCGCTACATTTTGCACATATGTATTGCTGTCATTTTATTGTAAGCTGTGAAGGGAAATATGAGTATGTGTGCACATGCCTGTATTGTAGAATCTATCATAAATATTGTACAATATTAAAATTTTCATATTTCGTACTTCCCACATACTTATGTACACACACACTTCCGGTGGAGCAATGTTAATAACCTGCCGCTACAAATTACTTTACATGTGTATGTGTACACAAACACGTACACATAGGAGTCTGGATGTGTATTTTTTGGGAAAGAAAAATGTGCAAAGCACTTTTGCAGATTTGAGCTGATGCAAAAACGGCAAACACACATATACATACCCATATGATATACACACATGTATTATTGTATAAAAACCGGCAAGCCGGTAAGTGCAAAGAACACCACCTGCACTGGGTAGTTGTAAAGAAATATTTGCACACACTTCCATAGCTTTAACAAAAAGCGCTTCCTCCTCAAATGCTTACTCGCTACTCGCAAAGTGTTTGCACACTCGCATCAGCACCTCTGTGTATCTATGAACTTATGAAACGGTTTGTATGTTGCTATGCAGGAAGGTAGCATACATTTAGGTGCAGTGGTTGTTATTGTGGTGCTCTTTCGTGCACGGCAAGTGGTGCATGCTTTTAGGTGCATTTAGGTGAGTTTAGTCCATTAAGCCTACACGCACTCTTCCACCCACATTGAAGTTCAGATCGGGTTTTAGTTAAAAATTGTAATGACGGAGGGAACGTGAAGTCTGTATGCGAAAGAGTTCTTCGTTTTTGAGATATAGGTCTGAAAATGTGTATACTGTTTCATTTGAAGAGTTATTTGCCAAAAATTGATCTTAGTTAATTATCCTAGTCAGCGCTTTAATATCCGAACGAACTTTTTTGATCGGATCGCCATAGCATAGAGCTGCCATACAAACTGATCGATCAAAATACAATTTAAATAATATAAATACTTCGCCATTTGACAAGATATAGTCACGAAATTTGGCTCGGATTATTGCTTAAGTCAGCGCTTTATTCTCTGAAGAAATTGTTTAGATTGGGTCACTTTAGCTCGTTGCTGTCAGACAAACTGCACGATCAGAATCAAGTGCTTGTATAGAAAAGTTTTTCAGTTGACGCGATATCTTTACGGAATTTTGCTAACATTTTTGCTAAAGGCAACAATATGATCTCTAAAAAAATGTACATCTGATTACTGTAGCATATCGCTGCCATACAAATTGATCTATTCAAATACATTCCTTACATGAAAACGTTTTTATTTGATCAGATATCTTCACGAAATTTGGCTCGAGCTATTGTTTACTAGAACTTAGATCGCTTAAAATTCAAGTTTTGTATAGAAAACATTTTTTTCCATTAGACTGCGGTTAGAATATTAGATTGTCAATAGAACTTATTTTATTATTTTAGTTTAAATAAAAAAAATACATATTTTGCATTAGAGCTGCTAATTGTCTTCCTTTCCAGAATTAAATATGAAAAATCAGTTTACTTGTATCACAAAATCACTTCTTTATTACCTTACAACAATAAATTCCGTTTTTATTTGGCACCATAATCGAATTGCTGGTGCTTTTCGCTCGGTTTGTGTGGTAATTGATTTGGTGAGTATGCGCTTGTGCGTTATTTTCGTTGCAGCATTAGCTGCAACATTAGTCAAGTCGCTTAATAAATCTTCTTACAGCCAACCGCCAGCGCCCTTGTCTCCCTTGAACATCGACACTCCCACAGTGTAAAGTCTATGCTGTAGGTCTGTGATATTTTTTTCACTTTTGCACTCATCTTTTTCTGCACTGTGGCCACATCGTTAAAACAACCAGCAGCGCGGCGCGTATAAACGACAACATTTTGAGGTTTATTGCCAATGCTGCAGTGTTGCCATGATCTGCGCAGCCTTTTCGCCTATGTTGTTTTTATTTTTGTCACCACAGTCTTTCGATTAAACGGCAGTTGGGCACTTGGCACAGCCAATTTTGCACACACACACACATGTGTGTACACAAAGACGGCAGGCGCTGGTACCGCCATTGCAGCTGTCAAAGCAGCCATGACAGATGGCATTGAATGCAATAATTTTCAATTTACCGCTAGAGCTGTGACCCACAACATTTGCGGCAGCTGCTGCGAAAGCCATTCTAGTCAGTTCACACCCAAACACACATGCATACAAGTGCCTTGGTTCTTGCGCCGCATACAACTTAGCCGTAGAAGGCAGTGCATCATTAAATGCTGTTCATTTTCTTCAGCGGTGCGCTGCTTTGTCTTCTACTGCCTGCCTCTGTTGAAAAGCGCATCATTTTCGTACATACCACGCCTCGTTGCTTTGAAGCGCTGGCATTGTTTTTATTGCTTTTGTTGATTTGCCTGCTGCTCATTTTATTATATGCTTTGCTGTAGTTGTTATTGCATGCGGTTATACGCACATTTTCGCTTTCATGCTGGGCGTATATGCATAATTAGCGCTGATTAATGCGATTATGTAGCATAGTTTTGGGCGCGAATAGCATTTCGTAATGAAGCGTCTACGCGCCAAATACTCAACGCAAGCCAGATAGTGACAAATGATAAAGCAGCAATAATGCTTGTGGTATAATGGATATATAGAGAGCAAATAAGATAATTAATAGCTATTGAGTGCTTAACTTTGTTGAACGCATGGCTTGCGGTGTGGAATATTGGGAACTTTATTTAAAAATTATTGTGCTAAGTGTACCAAAGAATATTAAATTAGTTCCAATAATACATTAGTGACCTTTCTTTTGTCAAAAAATTATTTTTTGACAGGGAATGGGAGCTAATTGACAGTTATCTGACAGTTTCAGTCATATGGAAGCCATCTGACAACCGCTTGAAAACAATGTGACAATAGTCATACTACAGCCAACATTTAACAGCTACCAATTAATAGTACATGTTTTGTCTGCAAAGTAATAGGATTGATTTTCTCCCGCCGCGATTGTACTTCGGGGCGTGCGCGCACCGACTCGATTCGATAGAGGGCGTTCCTAGCTAACGAACGAGCAGCTGGTCAATTTTCTTCGAGCAGCTGGAGAGTCAGGACAAACAGTTTCGCCCCACATATATCTGTGAGTTGTGTAAGCCGAAAATTCAGCTTCCGTGAAAGCAGAGGTACGCTGTTAAAGGCTGTGTAAAAGTCGGTATCTGCGACAGAGGTGTTTGATATGATCAAGCAGGCTTTTCCAGATGTTGCTTTAGCAAGAAGTGGTGTGTTTTGGGGGCAGTAGGCACACACATTGTCTTTATTCAGATCAAAGGCATCGTCCACCATGAATTTGTACCTCCTGGACAAACTGTCAATAGCAAGTTTTACGTGGAAGTTACCCTGAGAACATTTGAAAAATATATAAGATTATATGGTAAATCTTATTATAGATAATCTTGTGGGCATAGTCTTTTTGCATAAAATCATTTAGCTACGGAAAAATTATATCAGGGTAAGAATTGGAATAAGTTACGCATAAACCAGCTTGCTCCTTTGCGATACAGTATGGAATTCAGTTGATAAGTCCAAGAGGATTAGTCATCTTTTAGGACGCCTGCGATTGACGCAAATTATACTTAAGCATTTCCTGCAGTCAACCAACAACAATAATGTTTGTAGAAAACACAGCTGTTAGGCATTAGTATGTCGGCATATTAAGTTTCAAGTACCTAGTTTCACTCTCAGCTACTCTTTCTCTTAGGAAAGTGCTTCAAAAAAAAGGCGAAATCGCGAGTAGTGTAAGMAAATGTGTTCATATTGCAAAAAAGCTCACTCTTCAGAATAAGATTGACTAATTTTAGCTCCATGTAACTCGAAATTACTCTATCATTTACTTGAAAACTAAGTTGAACCCATACAAAAATATTTTTTTATTTCCAACAAGTTTTTTCCCAGACACAAGTATGGACCTTTACGTCTAAAAATCATATTCCACTTCATTTATTTGGTTGTGAAATAAAAAAATTTCGCCAACTGGTTTAGGTAAGCTATAAAAAACGCTTTTTGCCGCTTTAACACGCCTCCTGTTGCCCACTTTATGGCGCATTTCCAGCAAAAATTATTACAAATGCAAGTAATGACTTTTGATAAATGAACCATGTCTAATGGCAAAATTGGGTGCGAGCTGCGACTCACTGTTAAAGTTGTTGTTGAGAAATATGAAATAAGAGTTCAGAAAATAAATGGTGAAATAATTGAAACAAGAGGATAGACCGCAACTGTTTTTAAAAAAATATATAAGACTAGTGTGGAATGGCAGTGGATATATGACATATATTATATATTTTAGAATTTTCAACATATTTAGAGTAAATATAAGACACATAAAATATATATATGAGAAGCAGCAAAACGCATACAATTTTTAAATGATTTTTTTTTTTTTTTTTAATTTTCAATTTAAATGAAGAAAGTTAATGCAGGCACCAACTAAATGATTCAAATAACATGCGCTTCTTGCTTAGACTTAAGTAAAAACTAAATATACGCGGAACCGCGCCACACACCAGCGCACTTCAATTGATGACGCCTAGATGTATGCTAGGGCTTTTACGCCGCCTGCAGCAGCTGCCATGGCGTGTATTTTTTCCACATTTTACACTTACATAATTTCATAAAAGTCGCTGAAGTAAAAAACTTAAGTAATTTATATTATTGTTGCAACAACAGCGGCACGACAGCAGCGGCTGCGCTGTAATATTGTGGCATTCAACTGAATTTTACTGTTACTCCAGTACATATGTTCTCCATTTCATTTCTAAGCAGCCCCATTGCAACAGCATAGGGAATAGGGAATAGTGAAAGAAACCCCAGCAATGCAGCGAGCGAATAGCGCAGATAGTTGGAAGTGCAAAAAGTGCGGGTGGGCGGTAAAGGATTTTTTTTTTCATACTGCTGCGATACTCGCAGCTTCCGCACTCGTCGCTCGTCGCTCGTGCGTTTGCGATTTTGCGCTTCCTGTGCTAAATCTGCTGTGTTTTTTGTGTTGTGCATGGCTCCCTGGTCGACGGTTGAAATAAAATCGTACTTGCAACTAGAAACAGAGATATCCTTTTCTTCGCACGAAATCTGTTGGAGCAGCTCTAGTGGCACGTGTGAGCGTGTGTGTGTATGCGTGTGGAATGCAGATAAAGCTCGGATTTTATGTGATGTGTAGCTGGTGAGCAGTTGTGGCAAAAGTTAAAATTCACCACAACTTCTAGTAATCACTTAGATATACCCCAAGTTGTTGTTGTTGTTGCAAAATAAGGAAGGCTTAAAATTTTATGTGTAATGCAAGTGGCAGAGATTTTCTTAGCAAGTGGAGGAAAATTAAAATAAATTTAATGTTGAGGTTATGTTGCACAGTAATACTTGAGTATATTGCGGTTTTTCTGAGAAAATAGCAGGTTTCACGTTGTGTACACTGCAAATATTTGTGTGAATAATTTTCCAAATTAAATTTCAAGTACAATCGCTTCGTTTTTTATACCAGCAATAGCATTTTTACCTACATTATTGTCATAGCCACAGCAACGCCTAACCGTATCTAACAAAAAATCAAAATTTTTTAAAATTTCCTCAAAATGTATTTTACTTAAGGAGACATTCTACTCTAGAATTTTGAAAATTTCGATTTTTTTTTATATATACTTAAAGTTTAGACGCTTAAGAACATATCATCCAAAGGATATTTAAAAATTAAAATTATTTTAAGAGCACAGTTACTTTAGTGACGCAGTACCTAGGCCGGTAGGTAGATAGACCCACTTACTTTAACGCGTTTTTCTCGAAGTTCTATACAACCGATTTATTTGAAATTTTTTGTGAACCTTCTTTATATAATCTTTTATCCTTTATCCTTCATCTTTCTATAATCCTTAATATTTTGTTGTATATATTTTAAAAAAATTCTGAAATTTCAAAAAAAAAGCGTAAAAATAATTTTTATTTTCAAGCAGACGCCATTTTTCAAAAAACATTTTTTTCAGTGTTCCCTGAAATAAGGACTATAACAGCATCCTTACTGACTAAGTATTTCTTTTGACTTTTTTTTTCAGACCACCAGGAAGTCGGGATCAATGTCACCAGGATGCGCCATTTTTTTACACCTCTCTCTCTCCCTCTCTAATTATTTTAATTTTTAATATTTTTTTGTAAAATTTTTTTCTATATTCTTAAGATATCAATAAAAGCACGATAAAAAATGGATAATAAAAATATTTTTGGTTTTTTTTTTTAATAAAATTCAAAAAACTAACACAAAATTTGATTGCTAGAGCAGAATACCCCCTTAATATTTTTCAGAGAGTTGCTGATCTGCCGACCAACCCTACAAGGATTGTAACTTCAAATCAGGCCCAATCGATTTATTTGTTTTTAGTAAAAGATCACCTTGTTCCAATGCTAAAGAGAACATTCTTTAGAGCCATGTTTGTGACATAGAGAAGTTTTTCTGGGAGTTGTTGCGAACGGCGCTATATCTACTCTTCACAGTCCTCGTGTACAATCTCAGTTACAGCTGATATATTTCTTCATTGCGTGCTGGCCGTGGTCTATTCGGTCCAATATTATACAATAATGAAGGCTGGGTCTCAAAATGGGTGATAGTGTTGGGAATAATATGCTTAGTAGGCCTATTATTTTGGCCATAAGACGTAAATTTTCATAATAAAGTTGAACGGTTTGAAAACGTTATTAAAGTGTAGGTCTTTCCACGAAGAAATGTCAAACATTACTGGACAAAAATAACATGACAGCTTGACCAAAAAGAACGCGTGATGTTCAAAAAACGGCTACTGAAAAAAGTACTTCTATTTGGATCCCTCGTTGTAAGTGCTCAAAGAAGCAGGTAATTGGAAAGCTTATCAAGCCAAATTATGCAGTGTGAAATTTTTTTTATAAAAATATACAAATTATTATTGTGAAGAGAGTATCAAATTGAAAAAAAGGCGGCACTAAATATATTTTTATATTTGACGAATCACATTATTTTAGATCCGAAGATACTTTGCTAGGTGCGCCGAAGGTCTGTCTATGTGATATTTAAATCTAGCTCTGGTGAAGCCTGACCAGCAAAGTTGTAAAGTTTTACGTTTGTAAAATTCTAGCAGTTGGGAGTGACGCTAATCCAAAAGAAATGGTTTAGACACCCTTACCTGCTCGAAAAGTCACTGTTTGATGTGCTCTATGAGCAGAAAGAATAATTTTATTTTAATCATAAGACTAAATAATTTGCAAAACATTAATGTGAAGGCTTTTTAATGGATTATCCAAGTAGAGATACTTTTTTCAATAGACTTTTTTTGACAGATCACGCATGAGTCATATTCATGTTAGGGAAAGACTTACAACAACGTTTACAAACCGGTACAATTTATAACAAAAATTTACGTTCTGTAAAGAATGCTATGAAATCATCGGTTTATAATTATTCAAAAAACGATGACGGTGAAAACGTGATCGTCAATCGCGACCGTTACTGCACCATGATAATCGACTATTTGGTGCCTGAAATTTGAGCTCGTGATCACGGCGACATTTGGTTTCAACAAGACGGTGCCCCTTCCTTCACTTCGCATCAAGCAATGCTTTTATTGAGATAACACTTCGGTGAGCAGATAACCAAGATCGTGTGATATCTCACAATTTTTGTGGGGATATGTAGAGTCTAAAGTCTATGCGAATACTTCCGCTTAGACTCAGATTTGAAGCAAAACATCACGTATTTTATTCGCTAGTTGACAGTCGAAATGCTCACACGAGTCATCGAAAGTTGAAATCAACAGATGGACTATTTGAGACGTAGCCTTGACCGATTAGATTTTATTTCTTCTTGAAACAATGTCTAAAACAAACACTGTATTAAGTTCCTCTTGTTCTTTTATAAAGGGTATTAATTTCTGTCACAATAAATTTTAACTTAATTAATTTTATTGCAAGTCGTTTTTGTCTAGGGTGCCCTGTTTTCTAGCTTATCCGTATAAGTCAGATCACACTTGAACATTGGTACCAAATGTTCTTGAAAACTGCTCATAAATCGATTCAGTGTACTTTGAAATAAGTCATGCATATCTGCAGAGATTAACGATTGTCTCTGTTAGTGTACATGTATGACTTTAGATATGAGATTCAAACTGTTTTGAAAAAAACTTCAAGAAAAAATTCATTCACATCAAAAAAAATTACTGGATTTGATACTCACTTCTTCGAATGCCTTCGAGCTTCAGTAGAGTCTCACATTTAACTACTGGAAATATAAAAAAAGGGTAAAGTTTTATTATTATAAAAAATTATGAGAATGCTAATAAATATTAAACTCTAAAATACAAGAACTTAAGGAGTTTATTAATGAAGGAATAAACCACAGAGAGTTTCCTATTTTTCACTAAAAATAAAATATATAATGATTGTAAAATATATGCATTAAAGTTCAAAGTTTTGCAATAATGCCTTGTTTGTGTTGGCAGCCCTTTACTGCAGCCAATATAAGTGTGCAAAATGTCACAGAAACGCCATCAAAATTATGTCATAAATATTTGATACGGTCTGTGTGCTAAATTGCTCAAGCCATCTGTAGAATTTCAAATTTGTGGCGAGCGAATAGCAGTTCAACTCAACAACGATAACAACAATATGGCGCACGAACAACGCTTCGTAACAAATGACACATGTCTACGCCGGCTATTACTCACACAATTACGATATAAGTGCTTCGCATATGCACAAACGGCGACTTACATGTGTGTTGCGCCTAAATGTATGCTAGTTCGCTGTTGTTAAATGTAATTTCCTTTTACATAAGCATTAGTTTGCATAAAGTGCAGCGACGAGAGACCAGAATTGCGAATGTAAGCAACTAAACTCAATAGTTGAGTGGACAAATAAAATTGCTGACAATTTACATTTCTAAATAAATAAGTGAAGATTTAATATCGTAGGGAAATTCAAGAGAGTCAAGTACTAGCCCAAGAGCTATAGGCAACTTGTAAGAAAAAAAATAATAACAAAATAATGAATCTTAAGGTAGAATTGCGAACAAATTCATTCGTTGAAAGAAGTTTTTAAGTGACATAAATTTCATCAAATTTAAGCGTCAAAAATATTTATATAAAGCAAGAATTAAGTTGTTTGGGTACTTAGATGACCGCGAGCTTAGGCATTTTGGAATGCTGGAACTAGGATAATCAGATCGCCGAGTCTAGACTGGGCTGCCGTTTCTCTTCTAAAAAGCGAGTTAAGGACTCGCTGAAGGAGATGGGCAGGGAGCTCTTAAATGGAGTTTTACGATGTAGACTCGTGGGGAATGTTTCTGGAAGAGTATTATTTCGGGAAATATCTACCAGCCCCAAGTTTAAGCTTCCTGACCAGTGCAGCATCTTCCAAGCGGTGGTGGCTCAAATAAAGTTTGCATTAAATCTACTGCTCCGCAGTAAGCTTCCTTCGGAATGGTGACTATCCAATCCGACAGTAAAGCAGCGATAGCCTTGAGTTGGATGACTGTAGGCTTAAGGCTAGTGAAGGGATGCCTAGACTCTTTCTCTCTAGCATCGACTTATTGGACGATTAAACAGCTTTGGGTACTTCGCCACAGCGGTATTGCAGGAAATTGCAAGGCTAATGATGTTGCTGAGATAGCTACTTCAATATCAATAACTGTGGAATTGAAACGGGTAGAAGCTCCGTTGATTTTCAGTGCACGCCGAGTTCTTAGTAATCACTTCATACAATCTGAAAAGTAGTACTTTTGATAAATCTCTCTCATAAACCTAGAGTTTTAAAAATTTTTATCAATTAATGCAATCCTAAAAGTATGCCAACCTGTTCCACTTGTTCAAATTAAAGTAATTAAAGCGTCTGACATGCGTGCATGTTCTTAAATAATTGTTAAAAACACTATTGGTTTATTATTGAAATATATTATATTTACCCTTCGGATATTTGCACATATTTTTTTCGCCGACCATATGCCGCGTACAATGGCATGCATTGGTGTTTGCACTAGTGTTGCGGCGCAAATATTTGTATTTTTAAAATACACAATAAATTTCTGGTCTTTATATGGATTCGCCGCCATTTTATTTATATTTCTCAATCTTTCATTTTTCACATTTGCTGTTTCCTGGCGCGCCTCTGCCGTGTTCGCTGCCCGCATTTGGTGTACTCGTATAAATTAAATGCTATATTTCCGACAGGTAAAATAAAAACGGCACACGGAAAATAAATGAATAAATATCAGGATACACATATGAGTATTCAAAGTAAGCCTTGCATGCATTCAGCAGATTTATTTTATTGTTGTTCGTTCGATTTTTGGCGCGCCGCCGGCGTCGCAGGTCATATACAGGCGGAAGTTGTTCATCATACAGCGTCCAGTTTGGTGTGGCACGAGTAAGGGGGGGGGGCGGGGGTAAGAATGCTATAACGGTACAGTAGTGCGAGTACACACTGCGATAAATGCTTTGAATGGAAAAGCTTATTGAAAATACTTGAAATAAAAAATGTGATTCGAGGGTAAAAATGTTAAAAATATGAGCTGATTTTAAGCTCCATCTTGTAGTAACTATATATGGAAGAAAGTTTGGAGACAAAACATAATTTTACTATGACATTAACTGGATTTAAATTTCATGAGCTCAATACTAAAATTGCTGTTTTCTTAAGCTTTTTTAAACGTATTATAAATTTCCATAAACTGTTACTTTTTCATACGTTCATTTCATACCTCCCGATATGCACGCGCAACCTCATCACGATTTTCCATATTTTCAATTTTTTCGCAGTGCATTTCCCGTTGTACCAGCCAAATGTGGGATCCACCGGCTCTCTTTGCACAATTTTCTGTTTTTGGAAACATTTTTCTCTCTTTTTGGGCTGATTTTTTCAAATACCTTGCTGGCGTGTGCACACGAAATAAAGTGAAAACCGCAGAACGAAAATTCGCACATGCACAAAATAGAGTAGTAGTTGTTGTTGCATAAATATCAGAAAATCGGAAGTTGAAAAATACCGAAAAGACCCGCAGCGAACGCACGCGTTCTGTAAGAATTTTCCAGTCACATAGGCGGTGTTAAATTCACCAATAAATGTATATATATATATATATATATATCCATGTGTATGTATATACAAGTATATACATATATATATATAGACAAATTTACACATAAACACTGCATTTACTTGGCGTTGTTATTGAATAATATTTGTTCACAGTTTTTTGTGTAACTCCTTCACGCCGACACCATACAAAAGATATTCCACTGATTTTCCATTCAAAAGGCAACATAGACACACACTACAAATTATTTCTGGGAAGAAGGTGCGTTGGTATGATGAAAACATTATTACTTCCATTTAGAACGCTCTGGTACACTAGAAACAAAAACATTTTCGATTCGCGATCACTTTTCGAGCGATTCATCACATTACTTTTCATTCGCTAACGAATATTCGTATCTTCGGTGAATTTTCGACATTTTTTTCACTATACTTTATTCAATTTAGCGATTAATAGACATTACAATGCACTTTCACTCTTGTAAATAAGTTTACGAAACCATTCACGCTAATATTGAAGAAAAGAAGGTCTGATCAAAGTTGCTCAACATTATATCACAGTGATGTTATTGAGAACGACAGAGATATTTGACACGATATAGATTTGATTTTAATTGCCGTTAGTCCGATATTTCTTATATCTCAAAATAAATATTTAATCGATTTTCTTAAGAAAATTATGCTTATATGAGTAATATCAAGATGTTCACTTCTTTTTAAATACTTTGTAAGGGTGTATCTATATTTCCTTAACATTAAGTGCCTATATAGACAATATAAACTAGGGACCATATCGTCAGCTGAAATGCAAAATAACGTAGCAACATTTTCGGAAATTTACAGTGGCAGGAATGAAACACGAAATGAAATGGAACATGAGTGAAAAAAATTATAATATAGGTTATATCTGTTACGTCTGCTAAGTCCACGTGTGGTTCATTGGTTATTCTGATGTGAACAGGGAGAGGTGAAGCTAACTCAACGGTTTTACAGTTATCAACAACTCCGGTAGAACCGGGAACTTTCACGAGTCTCAGGTCATTTCAAAAAATCTCAGAAGTGACTCAATAATGCTTGATGCTTCCACTCTCAAACGCACTGTTAATTGCAGTACTTAGGCCATGAACCGGATTTGCATTCTTCACTTTTTTATATGAAAATTTCAAAACGTAGCGAATTTCTTTATTATTTTTATTTTTGAACTTTTTTTCACCTTCCCCGAATTTAATTTTATGACTAACTGAAGCTTAAAAGCTCACTTTTTCCACATTATATGGTATGACACAATGTGATTGGTAGCACTGGAGATGCAACGGCATCTATTTACAAAATACAAAATGACTTTTTCGATTACTTCATTTGAAAGTCCTTGTGTATATTTACTTATTGTGTACAAATTCACACAGACCTACTTTTTAAAGAAATTTTATAAAAATCAATTTTTTTTCGGTGATCACACCAGACACCTTCGCCGTTAGAAGGCAATTTGTGAAACAACTGCAACTATATTTTTTTCAATCTATAACTTCTCCTCTGAACTACCCCGTGATCTTGATGAAGTTGAGCTATTCAAATAACTTAAAGACGCATTTTTGCATTTTTTCAATCGGTGATAGGAGTAATTTTCCATTCGAATAAGCGGAATTGTCAGTTTTTGTGGTGTTCATAATAATAGTTAAAAAGCTTTTAAAATTACAGATGAAAGACTAATTGGTCTGAAAGCTTTGGATTTGTATGAGTGCGTTTACCTGTCATGGAGTTCACCTAAAAAATGTTAAATTATCTTATCATCTCATATTATATACTTTCATATATATATATACTTTTGCCCCAAAACTGTATATAAATACTCTGTCTCTTTGGTAAGCACCCTAAAATGCACATAATGAAATTTGTTTTAGTTACTATCTTTTATTTTTTGTTGTAGTTAGCTAACTTTATTACCCTGATGTCCAAAATATTCATAGCTCTAATCCGACAGCCAACAAAAGAGTTGATTGTAAAACCGAAATATTTCATTTTTAAATTTCTGTCATGGAATTTCACTATATTTTATTTCAATAAATACACACACACGCGCACACGCATACATATTTGATTTTACTTATATTACTTTGTCATTTCCGCCACTCGCATACTTTTAGCTCTTGCATGTTGTGCGCCGACAGCGAAAAAATTGAGAAATTTTGG